CTAAAGTAGCAGGGAGGGAAAGTACCGAATGAATGGAGGGGGATTCTTCACACCCTCCCCTTAGTATGACTCATAATCCCATTATGCAGTACACAGTTCCCCTTGTTTTCTGGATGTACACCTAAACATATGGGTACCCCTTTAAATATTACATCCCATGGTAGCCCTGATCTGGGTGAGAAACATATTCAAAAATCACCCAGATCGGACCAGGGGTTCGGGAATTTCCTGGAGGTAATAAAAAGTCTGACTGCGCTGGAGTTAACAGCCGAAAGAGGTTCCATACATTTTGGCCCTGCGGTCGGTCACAGAAAAAGGGAATAAAATACATGAACGGCTTGGGTTATGGAGACTGGGGAGGATTTGGATAAACCCCCTTGTTCGTGGGGTTCTTTCTACCGAACGGGGAGCCGTTCGGTAGTTCCTACACGAATTGACGGCAGTGTGGAGGTCTCATCTTAAACTCCCAAACAGCGGTGTTTTGCCGTCGAGTGTCTGGAACCCAAATTGGACACTCGGTTAGGCAAACACCGCTGTTTGGGAGTTTAAGATGGCCGCCGCCACCACGTGTTTGTCTCCCGTATGGCGGTGTGAACATATGTAACCTGCTACTGACATGCTGTCAGCCATTTTGCTGTTTATTCATCATCTTAAAATATAATCAAAAAAGGATATTTACTCTAAGAAATAAGAAGAAACTATGTTTTATTGCTACAATTTATTAATGGATGTCTGGACTGTTTTTTGGATTGCAAAAGGAAAGGTTATTTTGAAAGCGTGTCTTATCAGATGTTGCCAGGGGGGGAAAGGTGAAATGTGTGCTTAAGTTGTGAAAGAGGAAGTCTTATATGTGTTAACTTTTATCATAGACAAGCGATATTTTAGCGAAGTAAGACGCATGACTGTGGTCAAGTTATCTGTTAGAAAGATCATGGGATGCTTAAACTTTTGAACCTTAAATTTGTCAGTTATGCTAGAATTTAGCCAATAGGAAATAAGACCATATTTGGAGTTCTGATTCAAGCTAAACGAAAGGCCAGTTCCGGGTCATATGTATAAAATATGAGGAATTGTAACATGATGTTAGATTGCTTCTTGCCAATCTCCATGAGATATCTCTGTGTATTGTAATGGTCAATTAAACGCTTTTTATTGAACCTGGTAATATTTTTGTCTACTTCCACAGTTGGGGGCTCTTTGTCCGGGATCAGAATACCACAGACACCAGCGGAACACCTGCACCTGCCAACCATTTCGTGGGCACTCAAACAGACCGGTCATATGAAAGGTAAGCCATACCATTTATAAAACATGGCATTAGTGTAATTTTTGAGTGTCCATGAAACAAAGAACGGTGCAGGTAAATGCTAGTCTGTGTGACCTGATTTCTTAGCCTTTTATTGACCATTTGTAACGTTACTATTTATGTCTATGTTGTAAAATATACTGCAGTATTAGTGTCTATGTCTGAGTGATTCTAGAATCAGTGGTAGCACTGACAGGTAGTCCCCTAGGAAGACTTAAGTGACTAAACTTCGCAGACCCAATAGGGGTTTGGTGGGCCTTCAGAAGTCTAAACGTAGCTCTGTTGGTGAGAGTCTCTTTGATATGATGTATCCCTGTCATGTATTAATTGGCTAAATGTTGAGGTTAGCCACATGAATCTAATCTCCCAAGTCTAAACGTAGCAAAGCGAGATTAGATTATTTTGTTTTAGTGTCTTAATTTCACCCAGTCTAAACGTAGCAAGGTGAAGTTGAGTTGTCTTGTATTAACTGTTTAAACTCATAGGTTAAACGTAGCACTTGAGTAAGATGTATTGTGTTAAAATTGTATAACTGTGTGTATATGGTTTAAATTTTGATAAACTGTGACATCATTTGAGAAGAGATTTTTGTGTAAACTCCAGTTGTCAGTCAGTATACAAACTGAAAATTGTGACCTTTCGATCTCTCAAAAGGTGATATAGTGGTGTGTAAAAGTACAAGTAACAGAAATGAGGTTAAATCATGGCAAGCAGCTTGATCATGGGGATAGTATACCCAGTGATTCCCCAGTTTATTTAATGAAACAGAAATATGGCCCTTCAAATATTATGTATTCAAAGAAATGGGCAAAGTTAACTAAGAATAATATAAATCCATGGCCAGTGGTGGGGTCATTAGACCCTTGGGTGTTGTTAAGTTTAAGAACAATGTTGTTAAATGGAAAAAGTCTTTCAAAACTGGAATGGTCTGCATATATGTTATGGCATGAGGAAATTGAAAAGAAAAAGCAAGAATGTTCCCCCAGTCAGGTGCAACAGGAGGGGCACGTAAAGGAGAGGGTACTGGTGTTGCCTGTTTGTATCCCTCACTGTACAATTTAAAAAGAAATGTTAAAAATCCTCCGCCTTATAATGATGATGAGGATTTTTTTGATTAATCATGAGATTATGAATCCCTCTTTGGGTCACCGCCCCTCAGCAGATGAATGATGCACCACAGCTTGTACCCCAAAATTTAGCTGGTGCCTCAGCCATGTTGCATTGAGGTGGTAGACCTGAGAGGGATATTAGACTGCCTAAAAGATTTGCTGATCATGCTGTGGTTACTATCAGGTTTATCAGGATGTAGAAATGTGTTGCCTGAGTGATGGGAGTGAGGCTATGATTTTACCTATTAGAGAAGTGGGACAGATGGATAATGATGGGAGACCACGGAGGATTTGTCAACCGTGGAGCCCACAAGACATAGCATTTTTACAGGTATCATTTCCTGCCCCCTCTAGATCCAAATGGGTTTGTAAAACATTTAAAAATAATGTGTGCCAGCTATTTCCCCACAACATAAGATCTTAATGAGTTAATGGAGACAGTATTAACCCCTACAGAACATACTAAATGGGTGGCAGGATATGACGAGTCACCTTTTTCATGGCCTGCAGGGGTGGGGGGACAAGCAGTTGCACACATATGGGAAAATTGCCCTGATGAGAGGAGTGATGTTGTTCTTAAAAAATTTGTATGCATTCCTCAGCATCAAAGTAAAAACAGTTTTTACCCAGCCTATTGACTATATATAGCATAGTGCAAAAGAAAGGAGAAAACCACTATGAATATGGGGAAGCAATTAAGGTTTTTGGAAGTTTTGAAGATATCACGGTTGAATCAATTAAGCCGTTCATAGTGAATACCTTAGTAAATGCTTTGGATGCTAAAGTAAAAAAAAAAACAATTGATGTTATCCTTACTGGGATGACGGGATAAATCACTTGATATTGTATTAAGTGCAGCATCAGAAATTTGACAAGCTATTCAAATCAAGGAAAATGCAAAAGCTGAGCACATAATGCTACAAGCTGAACAAATTCCTGTTAGATATTATGCACATCAAATGTTTCAATTGTGATGGATATGGTCATATAGCAACAGATTGCAAGGAGGTAAAGGGGACAAGAAAGCAATTAGAAGAAAAAGACAGACTAGATGTAGAGGAAGATTGGGGTCTGAATATGTATTGTTAGTGTACCAGTGACCCAAGGTCCAGAACCTATGGTACATTTGAAAGTAAATGAATTGTATGTGATACTGAGGGAAGAAGAAGTAAGTGATTTTGGTGGGGAGAATGTATATTTAGTGGAAGACCAGCATTGCCATCATTGTTTAATTCTGAATGGTCAAGGCTGGGCCTAGAATCTGTATTGGCACTGGTGTGTTCTTCATGTGTTATTTGTTTACAATACAATGCAGGTCAGAGACCTAAATCATCCTCCCTGTTCATGAGGTCCATTTGTAAATTTACAAATAGATTTCATTGAATTACCAAAGGTAATGCAGTACCGGTATGTGCTAGTAATATTAGATACATTCTCAGGTTTGGTTGAGGCTTATCCTTGTTGCCATGCGGATATTGTCTACAGTGTCTAAGAAATTGTTACAAGAATTTATACCCAGGTATGGATTGCCTCTGCACATTTACTCAGATCAGGGAACACATTTCACAGGAAAAGTAGTGCAACAGATAGCAAAAATTTAGCAAATCCCTTACCATTTACATTGCTCTCATCATCCTCAGTCAGAAGGAGCAGTAGAAAGGGCCAATGGAACATTGAAAAATAAAATTGCAAAAATTGTAGCAGAGACAAAGTTAAAGTGGCCTGATGCACTTCCTCTTGCCTTAATGTCTATGAGATTCTCTCTAGTTTGAAAGCAGGGTTATCCCATCATGAAATTCTAATTGGAAGACCAATGTTCACAGGACGGGTACCTATAAAATGTTATTCTCATGAGATAAATGATGATTTAGTAATGACGTATTGCATGTAGCTAACAAAACGATTAGTCTCTCTATATGCAGGTAAAAGCTGTACAGCGAACAAGTGAATACCAACCTTTGCATGCCATCGCTCCTGGAGATTATGTTATGATAAAAGATCATTCACGAAAGCACGCGTTGCAACCAAGGTGGAAAGGACCTTGTCAAGTGTTATTAACCACTAATTCAGCTGTTAAAGTCGCAGGGGTTAAATCTTGGATCCACATTTCCCATTGTAAACTGACAAGCGCTGAAAAAGATTTTTTCACTGGAAGAAGAATAGAGGACTAAGGAAGCCGTTTTCCCTTCTAAAAAGGGGTACTTTTTAAGGGGAGTATCTTTCTAATCCAAAGTCAACTCTACTGTTTTTCTTCATGAATCTCAAACTGGTTAAACGTATATTGTCCTTAATGATTGTCATTATGACATTTTTTTTAATTTTTCATCCTCTACACTACGTTAGCTCCTCTTTTTTCTTTAATACACGTGTAGCTTGGGCCAGGGAGCCAAGTATTTTTCTTCATGGGAGATAGATAATCATTTTGTTAAAACATCTACTGAATTGTATAAATTGTCAAACAAAAGTAATCATTGTTGGGTTTGTGTGTTTGCTCCGCATTCCATGAACTATGGTTATCCTTTTGTGGGGGTGCCATGGTCTATGGAATCTTTATGGGTCTTTGTGAGAAAATAAGAGCAAATAAAACGGGGTTTGTTGGATTTATTCCGAATGAAGTATCCAAATCTGGCGAACCTGCTAAGGTTCATTTAACATTTCCTATTACTAGCAGAGCAGTAGTAATTTCTAACAGGGATCAGAAAAGTCCTGACAAGATTGTTAAGCCTATAAGCAATGCTATTGTTATTTTTGAAAACAATGTCCTTTATAATCTATGTGGGTCTGAAACTAATTCTGCCCCTTGTACTGGTAGATTGAAAGCTTTTTGTTGGAAACCCTTATTAGAAGATATTTTGACAAAATGTCCCATCAAGGATAGAATCCCGGTGATTACTAATCATGTATGGGTAAATTTGACTTCTGAGGTAGAAATCATGGATAATAATTATGACCAGAATGAACATTTAAATGTCACTATTTTGAGATGGGCCTACTTTAATACTCAAACTTCCAATCTTTTTATGCTACTGCCCTATATTAATCAACCTATTTTTGACTGCTCAGATTCTCGTGTTATTGATATTCATCTTCCATTTGGGGTATACTATTTATGTGGTAGTTGGGCGGTAAAAAGACTTCCATGTAATTGGGTGGAAACTTGTTATCTAGGTAATATTATCCCAGCGTTAACCCTTCATGAAAATTTGCCTGCAGGAAGGGTGAGGAATAAAAGAAAGGTTATTAGTTCCAAAAAAAGATAAAACCGAAAGAACTGTAAAATCTGGTGAAGGAGATACGCTATTTGCAGGTTTTGTACCTAAAGGGGGGGTTATTGAATTAATGTACAAATTAAACTTGTTAGGAGATATACTAGATGAAGCCTTTAATAATACAGGAGATGCTATTGAAAAATTGTCTGCAGAACAGGAACAAGCTTCAGCTATGATTATGCAAAATAGGTTTGCCCTAGATTATTTGTTGGCCTCCAAAGGTGGTGTTTGTGCACTAATAAAAACAAGATGTCGTTTAAAGATAGATAATGTTACTGGTCAGATTCATACAGATGGAGATAAAATGCATGAAGTACAAATTAAACTTAGAGAAGTTCACGATACTTCTTCGGGAGGTTTAAATTGGGGTTTTGACTGGAGTTTTGGTTTAACTAATTGGTTGGGAACAATGGGAAAACGTATTCTCATTGGAGTTATTTTAGTAGTATTGATGCTTGTGTTTATTTATGTTGCAGTGAATGTCCTAAAGTGTTCATGCCGATTAATCCTCAAGAGCTGTTCACCTTCATCTCCCCCTGGCACAATTTCGAATGTTGAAATGTCTCCTATCCGGTCACAACTCATACCGACTTGGAATACAGACATGCTTTCTCGTGAAGATATTGATCGTGTGCGCATCTATTTGGAAAGTCCTGCAAGTGCTGTTTAAAATCACTAGCTCACTGAATGACCTTCGCTAAACATGGAAGTGTTGCACGGAGCTTTTTGTGGTGAAAGTCCTAGCACCAAAGGGAGGACTGTGAACATATGAAACCTGCTACTGACATGCTGTCAGCCATTTTGCTGTTTATTCATCATCTTAAAATATAATCAAAGAAGAAAATTTACTCTAAGAAATAAGAAGAAACTATGTTTTATTGCTACAATTTATAAATGGATGTCTGGACTGTTTTTTGGATTGCAAAAGGAAAGGTTATTTTGAAAGCGTGTCTTGTCAGATGTTGCCAGGGGGGGGAAAGGTGAAATGTGTGCTTAAGTTGTGAAAGAGGAAGTCTTATATGTGTTAACTTTTATCATAGACAAGCGATATTTTAGGGAAGTAAGATGCATGACTGGGGTCAAGTTATCTGTTAGAAAGATCATGGGATGCTTAAACTTTTGAACCTTAAATTTGTCAGTTATGCTAGAATTTAGCCAATAGGAAATAAGACCATATTTGGAGTTCTGATTCAAGCTAAACGAAAGGCCAGTTCCGGGTCATATGTATAAAATATGAGGAATTGTAACATGATGTTAGATTGCTTCTTGCCAATCTCCATGAGATATCTCTGTGTATTGTAATGGTCAATTAAACGCTTTTTATTGAACCTGGTAATATTTTTGTCTACTTCCACAAGCCAAACATGAAATATTCTGTAAATCAACTGTACGTTCAGTTCAGATAATCTGGCCTTAGATTGGAAATTCACTTTGAATTCTCACATATGGAAATAACCCTGTATGTTTTGTAACTTTTCACTGCGAATGTTTCTGTAGACAAGACTTTACTGCAAAACCAAATTCAGCTGCAAATGACACCAGCCCCTTAACCCCTTAAGGACACATGACATGTGTGACATGTCATGATTCCCTTTTATTCCAGAAGTTTGGTCCTTAAGGGGTTAAAGAGAAACTATCATGAAGAAGGTACTAGTGAAATCTCATACTGGATTATTCACTAAAAGTAAGAATTTTCCTGAATTCAAAGTGAATTTCCCATTTTACACCAAAATAGCAGAACTAGAAATATAGTTGACTGGGAGATTTTTTCCAGATATTTTGTTCTTTAAAGGGACACTATAGTCACCAGAACAACTACAGCTTAATGTATTTGTTCTGGTGACTATAATCATTGCCTTCAGGCATTTTCATGTAAACACTGTCTTTTCAGAGGAAAGGCAGTGTTTACGTTGTCCCTAGGGACACCTCCAAGTGGCCACTCCTCAGATGGCTAATAGAGGTGCTTCCTGGCTCAGTGCTGCACAGTAGGCAGCACTACCATTCAGCGTGGAGATGCTGAATTTTCCTCATAGAGATCCATTGATTCAATGCATCTCTATGAGGAGGTGCTGATTTGCCAAAACTGTGTTTGGCCCCGTACCCATTCTGCCTCCTTGTCGACTTCAGCCAATCCAATGATTTCCCTAAAAATCTGAAATTCTGATGATGTCACCAAGGAGGAGGTTTGGCAGACCCATGTGGCATTTGAAATAAGGTGAGTTTTATCATTTTCTAAGGGGTATAAGGGAGGGTGAGCCACCTAAATGGTGGTTTTAACAATATACGGTCAGGAATACATTTGTGTTCCTGACCCTAGAGTGTTCCTTTAAATTTAAAATTCGCTTTCAATTTCTGATAATCCAGATTTGAGTAAATAGTCCTGCTAGTATTTATTACTTGCTGCTTTGAAAGTGCTAATATCCTTTAGCTCCTTAGTGTAAAAAATATTAGAGTTTTATTCTCCCTCCAATCTCTCAATTACAGGTGAGGATCAGTGTCCTACTCTAAGCAGTATAAATGTGGCTGCTGGCACTGATCCAAACAGTTAGACAAACCGACTGTTGTCTGTAGAATACTCAGGGAACCAAGCAGCTCACACTGGAGGGGGGCAATTAACTAAAATCCCCAATATCTTTTATACTAAATGGACACAGACATGCCATTGTAACTGCTGTCTGTAGAATACTCATGGAACACAGCAGCTCACACTGGAGGGGGGCAATTAACCAAAACCCCCCAATATCTTTTACACTAAAGGAATACAGATATTACAATGTAACTGCTGACTGTAGAATACTCACACTGGAGGGGGCAATTAAGCAACACCCCCCCACCCCCAATATATTTTACACTAAAGGGATACAGACATTACAATGTAATTACTGTCTGTAAAATGTGAAGGGAACACTGCATCTCACACTGGAAGGGGCAATTAAACAAACAAACAAACAAAAACCAATATATTTTACACTAAAGGGATACAGACATTACAATGTAACTGCTGTCTGTAGAATGCGTTGGGAACACAGCAGCTCACAATTAACCAAATCCCCCCCTCAATATATTTTACATTAAAGGAATATGGACATTACAATGTAACTGCTGTCTGTAGAATACTCAGGGAACCCACCAGCTCACGCTCGAAGGGTCCTTTAATCAAATGCCCCCCAATATCTTTTACACTAAAGGGATATGGACATTACGATATAACTGCTGTCTGTAGAATACTCAGGAAACACCGCAGCTCACCCTGGAGGGGGGAATTAACCAAAACCACAACATTGTTGGGGATTTTTTTTACATTTATTAAGGAATAGGAGTTTCATAATTCCTTTTATATCATTATATGCACAGCACACCATGGGTACTTGAAGGGCTTAGCAAGTCCAACAGCATACCATGTTTGAGCCTACACAAACTACAAAACATCAGTTTGCATGAATATTATATTTTTATTTATCAACCATAATCATGTTCTGAAGAGAATTTCATTGCCCCACCTTTATACACCTCCCCTATGCAGTCACGTACAATGCAGCTTGAAAACATTTCAGCAAACTATTTATCTAAATGATTACATTTGTAATTAACAGTTTTGTGTATCTGTTCCGTGTATCACCTTTTTTCGCAAACAGACCTCATTATTTCTGAGCTGAAATCCTGTAACTCATTTAATATGATTGTCAATTCCCATGTCACGAGGGTCAGCGTACAATGCTCCGTATAAAGAACTGCATCCCTTACGTAACCTGTGCTTTAGAAACCGACTCCTCAGGGATGCAGTGTCACGAGGGTTATAACCTGATCTGCCTGCTCTGCGTATATGGAGATTAGAAATGAGATTCGTTCTAGTTTAAAGGGGAACTGTCAAACACTGCTTTAGGCACAACCTGATAACTAATTAAAATTATTTATGCATTAAACTATTTTCTTATATTAAAAATTTATTTTATCTTATAATTTACACTGTATACATGGATTACTTTGCAAAGCCCGAGTGTACTATGTGAATTAATTCAATCGCCGTAGTGCCGCTTGCGTGCTTGCTCTGCAAGAAATCCACAATACATGCATGGGTACAGGTTCTCTCAGCAGACGCCCAAGAATGATCGACCACGTCGGGAGCATCATGATGTATCTTGTCGCATGGGAGATACAGAGGTGAGCTCATTGGCTAAGAGTGTCAGCTAATCTCTCTCAGCCAATCAGATCAGGAGAGCTAGTGGAAGCTCCAACTTAGGAACTTCCGACTCTCAGCCAATGGTAGTGAAGGCAGGAAGTGGACCTCAGTTAAGAAGTCAAACCCATCAGAAAATGTTTGACTCATTGTAATGGGGGGACCCAAGACACTCCTGGCACCACAACAACTGAAGTGTTTATTTAAAGAGTTCAGATGTTTGCTCCTTTTTTTCTACCATTGACTAAAATTCATAAAATAAAACATTTAAGTGGGAAAAAAATATGCATTCACAATTTGAAGGCTGTTTTTTCTTCATTATTTAAAGAGACACATCCCTATCGAAATAGAAATAAATAAAACACTGTATTTTAGCAGGGCCGGTACAAGGATTTTTGACTACACGGATGAAAAGGTGTTTTGCAGCTACCCTTCCCCTAACCCATACATTTTCTTGATGTTTCCTGCCAAAATATTCTAGAGAAGTGACAGAAAGCACCAGATTGCTATCCATTTCATCTAATACTACAAAGGATATAGATTTCCCCAAGCATACACATACTTGACTTAATTTAATGTACTATAGAATAGCTAAAGTTATTTAAAAAGGAGCACTCTAACATTTGTATATCCCATTAGAGGTACATAAGTATCTAGATGTAGAGGCCCCCCCATTTAGAGTTAAAGCTATTTAACTCCCTTATCCCAAAATTGCGTCGGTCTCACCCGTTGCTCCTCCTAATCATAGTTACTGATTATCTCAGTCATTCCAAGAATTCTCCATTGAGAAGCACATATTTAGGAAAGGCACAATTGATGCAGATGGAGGAAAATATTTGTGTGAACAGAAAATGTTTATAAAAGTTTGGTGTGAAAATAGCCACGCTACTTTTTTGCTATTTACTTCCCATTGTCCAATTCATTGTTTTCGTTCTATTTGTCATAACTCACAAATTATTAACAATATTATTAAAATTCCTGGGGAGTGGTCGTTCCTCTTTAAATAACAGAAAGTTGAGAAATGTTTATTCTGTGTAAAATAAAATGAACTATTGAATGGGTGCAGAGTCTTTTGTAGCCACCCAGTACATAGATTTGTTCTGAGCGCAAAACAATTAGAGCAGGCTGAGAATAATCCATTTACTAATTAAACTCTGAAGCACACAGACTACTGATGAAAGAAATGCCTTTTTGCACAGTACTTCATTCCAGTGATTGCGAACATTATCATCAAGCAATATTTAAAGAACTCTGACAGCCATAAAATGAACTGGCCGGTTTGTCTACAGTCAATTAATAGAAGGCAAATCGTGTCTCGTATACTATAGAGACTGACCCCACACGGAATCTGCATTGGATTTATCCACAGCATTTCTACAAGATATTCTGGGACACCATGAAGCAGTGAGTTATGGGCTATGTTTGAAGGCTCCAACCTGAACGGGCATATTAAACATACTGAAAAAACAGGCATCTGCACAGAAGATACAGTGGTACATCTGGGAGAAAAATCCTCTCTGTGTAGACATGTATCTATTCTTTGTGGCGTAGGGCGAAATGTAAGAAGTGATTCTCAGTATGTAGAATTCACGCCACAAGACCCACCTTGTTTCTGGACAAGGAAAGTGCTGACCAATAGATCCAATAGACTAAATTAAATTATACAATTCTAAATAA